TTCCCTACATTGGGGCACAAGCACATGAGCATTACGAGGACTTAGCTAGAACAAAGCCATGGCTGACCTGATCCAGTGCTAGCAGTGCACAAGAGCAGGAGCCTGTGGCAGTAGAGAGAGGGGATTGTGCCCCTCTGCCCCGCTCTGGGCAGACCCCCCTGCAGGGCTGCGTCCAGCTCTGGAGCCCTTGGCCCAGGAGAGACACGGACCTGCTGGAGCGGGGCCAGAGGAGGCCCCAGCGACGCTCCGAGGGCTGGAACAGCTCTGCTGGGAGGACAGGCTGGGAGAGCTGGGGGGGCTCAGCCTGGAGCAGAGAAGGCTCCGGGGAGACCTTAGTGCAGCTGCCAGGGCTTGGAGGGGCTGATAAAGAAAAACGGGGCAGACTGTTTGGCAGGGCCTGTAGGGACAGGACAAGGGGTAATGGTTTTAAACTAAAAGAGGGCAGATTCAGACTAGGTCTAAGGAAGACTTTTTTCCCCAATGCGGGTGTTGAACCCCTGGCCCAGGCTGCCCAGAGAGGTGGTGGATGCCCCATCCCTGGAAACACTCCAGGTCAGGCTGGACGGGGCTCTGAGCAACCTGCTCTGGGTGAAGATGTCCCTGCTCACTGCAGGGGTGGGACTAGATGGCCTTCAAAGGTTCCTTCCAACCCAAACTATTCCATGATTCTATAACCTTGCAACTTGTTTTACTTACCCCTGATTGTACATCATAGAGCGTGTGGGTGAGGATAATCTTGAAGACTGCATGGGACCGACTGCTCTCCTCATTCATGTTGGTTGCAGCCACTGTTCGAGATTTGTTGCCCTCGGACATCAAGGACTCGATGTCCTAGATACAATTTTCACAGCCATAAGCATATCTGCATTAACATTCTTTTAAATTATCTACCAAAACAATCTCGTTTTGGTAAAATACAGCAAGTTTCCCACTGTTTATTCATATAGCATGAGAAAAAAAAATTGTGATCTCCTCTTTTAAAGACTTGAAATTACACAGTGTTGTGACATGCATATTCATCCATTACCTCTACCTAGATATTAAATTATCAAGAAAAATAATGCACTTGGCTGCACACAGCAATACTCAAAAGCAAAGAAAAAAGTGTGGAAACAGTAATTCATGTTTGAACACTGTAACATTTTAGCCTCAGCTGTCAAATGTTCTTGAAATCTGTAATACTGACATAAGGCTCAAAGTTTTATAAAACAGAATCACACTGAACAGATGATTGTGTTCCTCCTACATTTAAGAGCTTATAAAGTCCTCTGATATGTTAAATTGAGATACTTTAGAAATACACAGCTCCCGTTCTTCAGCATTTTACAGCAATCCTGTAAAACAGTTAAAACTTTAGAGTCTTGGGCTTAACTTTTACTTAAGCATCTCTAGCTGGATGACACTAAAAAAAACCCAGAGAACAATCAAACAAAAGAACACCGCAGACCACTTTGACTCTGTATGCTGTATTACACAAAGCTGCTGGGCAACATGTAAAGGAAAAGCATGCAATGTGTCTTGTCTTGACAGAAACCACCAAAGACAGGTAGACAAATATGTGGAGAGACTGCAATAGGAAGGGCTGCACCACTTTCAGATGGCAGAATTCCATCCCATATTTACTCGTTTCTCCCAAAGAACATTAATGCTTCTTAAAGATTAGGGCATTTTGTGAATACATGGATAAACATTTGCTATCCATCAAGCAAGTTTTGTGCAATGTTCTCAAATATTTGCCTTGTAAACAACCATTAGTTTATAATTCCAGTCTGCCTGTGTGCTACTGGTAAGTGAAATTACTAGGCAATAGCAAAAAATAGCAAAAAACGTGACAAAGAAGTGGTACTGAAAGCCCTCTCTCCTAAATGGTGCTTCTGTAATTAATCATGGAACACTATTTCTCATGGATACACCTTGCACTCATCTTAAGTTTGGGAGGAAAGCTGTTCATTAAATAGTTGAATTACTTCCAGAATTATTGAATAGTACAGGATGAAGGTGACTTTCTGCTCTGAACGCTGCTCTCCCCAGCAATCACAACTACAACAATCCTGCAGCGCTCTCACTCTAACATCCATGTTACTGCGATGGCAATTAGAAGTAACTTAATAATTTTGTCCTGCTTAAGGGACAGTACCCTAGTGTTTGGGAGGTCAACACAAGCCTTTCATAAAATTGATCCTTACCTTGTAGCTTGCAACAGCTAGTTTGGATAGGCCATCTACATAAGGACCATAAACGCTGTGTTCTCTAACTTTTAATGACTGACGGCTTCTAGTTGGAAAAAAAAAGTTATTTATGAGCATGAATGACTTAAGACAACATTTATAGAAAGTTCATTTCTCACTGACAAATCTCAAACATGATGGTCTTACAAATACCGTAATACAGAACAAGGACTATAATGCAAACAAAAAAGCCTTAAGTCTACATGTAAGACATTTTTGTCACTTCTACATGTAAAATGCAGCCACAGACATTTTTGTCACTTCATAAAAGCTAGCATTAGGGTGAGTTTACTCCAAGCTTTTAGTCTTACTACTTTGTTTTGATTTAAAATGAAAAGGACAGTGAGATCAGGAAGAAGCGAAAGCCATACTACGGCAAATGCTTTAGAGGGGATCCATTAAGGCTAACTGGTTATGGAGAGGAAGAGTGTATGACACCATGTTACAGTGCTGTTTACACACAAATTACTTACCCTTTTGGGTCAAGAAGATCTCTGACTTTCTCATTGTATATCTCCATGTAGGATACTTCCACTTTGAAACTTTGCTCTTCATTTTCCTCTTTCTGTGCTCTTTCAAAGAGTCCACTGCAAAGTCTAGGGATTAATCCAGGCTGGTCAGCAGTGCCCATCATTGTGTATGATTTTCCAGATCCTGTGTGATTGAATCTATGATTAGTGCACATGCAACACCGTTTCTTAATGTGCGGAACATGGAAAGGAAATAGAAAGAACAGGTGAAAAAAGAATTTTGCATTTCAGGGAAAGATATTTGTGTGGTTTTCTATTTTAAACTAACCAAAACACCATTTAGCTAAAGACTATTTAATTAAGAGGAAAAGTAAAACAAGAAATCTAATTTAAACTGACAGAGAAGACTTGTTTGGGTAGGTACAGCCTTACTGTAGATGACAGCTCACTAACACCCACATATGTGCCACAATGAGAAAAATCAGGTGCACAGGCATACTCATTTTTGGATATTACATTTAAAATTATGATTAAAGATTATTCCAACTACAGAGGTAGAAAATATGAGTGATGCACTGAACTCAAGGACAGTCATGATCATTCCAAAGACAATAATCAAAGGTGTGAGATATAAGGGTAGCCAGCAGCAACAAAATCTTGATTCTCATCCTGTCCACCTCATATCTAATGTTACAAAAGAGAAAAACATTTCTTATCTAGGCATTAGATAAGGCATTTCTCCTGGAACAATGTCACAATAGCCGTGAAAAGAGTCTCCAGTCACAGGGTAACACCTCTGGGGTCAAAATTTTTTGCTTATGTCCAGAGGGGACTTACCAGTTTGCCCATAGGCAAAGATGCAAGCATTATAGCCTTCAAAGGCATTCTGAAGAATATTCTCTCCAAGGCACTTGAAAACAACATCTTGACCTAAGAAAGAAAATACACAAGCTAACACTCCAACAAAGCAACGGATTCCCCCTGCCCCTTGGCTTGGATCCCTCAATAGATCCCTCAATAATTATGTAAAAGCAAACAGTGTTTTCCTGCTGTTGTTGCTCAAATAACACATTTAGCACCCAGTATTTGTTCCCATTGCAAGAGCATAACCATGAGCTAGTAGACGTGCTCCAGATTTATGCTACTGTAAAAATCAGAAGCTGTGATTATCATGCATATTCCTGTATGTGCTTAAAACAACATCCTATCAATGTTCATACTCAGAATTTTTACCAGCAGAAAATCTACTCCCAGTTCTAGAATTTCATCCACCAGTGAATGACACCACCTCAAAATACACTCAACCCACACATTTTAACAACTGCCGTTTACAGCAATTAGTAGAGCGCTAGATAACTTTACTGTATATGTACAAGGTATTACATACCACCACGCGGAGATTTTCGCAGAGAAAGAATCACAACTATGTGGGAGATATTATAGTACAAGACACGCATTACCAAAATACGGGGTACATCACTTCTTTTGTATTTGTACTAAATCTGCAGGAACAGCTTCTCAGCTCCTTTTCCAAGCAGAGGCAGAAATGCTTAATATATTTGGGTATTACCTATTTAAACAAAACCTCTATTTTCAGAATTTTTACAAGCAGAGGAACTAAGCTCTGAACAAGACATGGCAGAACTTTATGGACTGAAAAGTCCTCTCAAATACATTAATGTTCCTGGAAGTTTTTCCTTTCTCCCATCGATTGAAGTCTATATCTTTACATCTAAGCCCGCTTGGAATTTTACGCATGCAAAATTCCCCATCAAAATTACTCATAGCTGTGCCTAGCTAAGCACAGTGGAACGGTTTTGGACTAAGGACTTCCAACGTGTAACAGACCATCATATAAGTTACATAAGAGCCTCCATTAGTTTGAGAAACAAAAAATGTACCTTCCTGTGTGATTTGTGTCGCTGAAAGTGTCACAGTTTTCTCAGTTCCTCACTAAATTACTATTCATTAGTTATTTGTTGGAGAAACTAAAACCTAGAAGCATACGCATCTTTTACTTTTCCTGTGATTTTTAAAAAAATAAATGTAAGCAAGTTAACTGATTCCCACTTTTAAAAGATAACACATATGAATATGTGTTATGAATAGAACATGAGTGGTAAGCCCAAATATATTTCCTATTTTCACAGAATCACAGAAACACTAGGTTGGAAAGGACCTTCAAGATCATCAAGTCCAACCATTAATCCAGTGCCACCATGTCCCCTAAATTTTACTGTAACTATTTGCCAAAATGTGTCATAATAATACACAGAAAACTTTTAATTAAATACACTACACATTCTCACCAGACCATATGAATTCACATACCCCTATATTAGATTAGGCTTTTTTAAATACTCCATTATTAAGTTCTAATATGATGCCAAACTCCCATTGGCACTGTGAAACATGAAATTACATATAGCGACATTCCTCAAATCCTGAAAATAAATTAATTTGATGCTTTTAAAATTATGGACTTGGAACAGTATTTTAAATAAAGATGTAAATATGAGTAACCCATTATTGTGATGGATTTCTCGATTTCCTACTCTGCAATCGGGTAGCAATGCCGATTGCTATTACCATCCTTAGAGAAGAGAAACAGGAGTGACTGAAGATTTTCCTTTGTCTTTTGACAACAAGCAGTCATATAGGGGAAGGCACTTTGTGCCATATGGTCTGTGGCCTTTAGCAAATACTGTATTTTAATGAGGTCATTTGGACTTGGAGGCAACAAGCACAAAGCTATGGTAAATATTACCTGCATATTTTTCTTTGACAGATTCATCCATAGACCAAAAGCAGTGATCGTAAGCAAACACCTGTAGGAAAATAACCAGGAGGGCATCTTATAAAAGCTGTTGCCAAATCAAGCACGTTATCCAAATTTTGGATGTAATATAAAATAAGTCTCTGGTTTTATCTTTTATTTTTATATAAAATAAAATATAAAATAAATATCTGTATTATGTTGGTTAACATCACGTTCCTCGAGGCCATTCTGAACATAATACACATTCCCACAGAATTACTTATTTTCCATGAGTTTGAAGCCTAAACAATTACTGCATCTTCCTATATGCAAGCCTGGTTCTTGCTTTTATTTGTTTCTTGCTTTTATTTTGTCCTTTCCACTGTGCAAATCCTATTCCATGCTTCCCCAAAGCACTCCATGTGGCAACTGAGTGGATGTCAAGGAGCTCTCCTTCTCTTCCAGCAAACCCATCCTCACGATTCATTTTTTGCAAGACTTTCTATTTTGCAAACTGACAGATGTCCCCTGGCTGCTTCTGCCAACCATCTCCCGGTGCCTCTTGTCTGCATAAATTAAAACCATGCCTTAGGGTTAGGAACCTCCGTCGGTGCAAAAGGAGTTTGTATTTATATACCGCTGACAAACAGCGGCAGTCATCACCAAAGTCTAATACTTTTAAAGAAAAAAATAGGACAAATGAGTTTTAGCATCAGAAGAGTAGATAGGAAATCCTATCTTTAGATAGGAAAGTTTCAATTTTGTGGAAAAGCCATTTAAAGGTCCACAGGCACTTATCATCGTGAAAGCTACTCTCCAATAAGACAGCGCATATTTGGGACCACAGGCTGCAAAAACAGCAGTTTCAAAAACAACTCCCCTGGATACATATTTGTAATAAAAAAAAAAAATCAAGATAATATCTGACCTACATTCACACAGGCAAAATTTGCTCTGTAGGATACAAGAAAAGGGAAGTGCAATGTGTTGCTCTTTGGCTGTTTATTCTCCCTGAAGCTTAATGAAAGCCGCTCTTTCCCCTAGACATCCTGTATCGCTGCGTAGCTATCTTTGCATCACTTCAGGTCACGCTGGCAGAGCAAACACACCATGTCAGCACCTCACATCTACCTTCTGAACGTTCATTCCATTATTTCTGAAAATTTCATTTTATTTGTTAACACATTTTCGTGTTCCATTTTAGCGAAGTCTGTTGTCTATATCCTGAAGGCACTAACCATGAACTAGCATCTGCACACGTAAGCAAACTCAACATTTCTTAACTAGTAAAGACTGTAGGAACAAAATATGTTGCATCATACTTATATTAATAATGAGAAAACCCTCAAAAGAAATACTGAGTCTGTAGTGAAATACCTCAGTTATAGTATTTCCTAATAGATTGTATCATGGAATCTGAAAAATCATTTAAGGACTCATGAAGCAATACAGCAAATCTCCTTCAAGTATTTATACTAACTAAAATACAACAATTATGCAAGAGTCAAAAGTCCATACTACCAACACATCCAAAGTCAATACCCACGTTTATGAAAATTCTTAGTATAGCAAAATCCTTGCAATCTAAATAACTTACCTTCGAAACTGTATTGCACTTTTTTACCTACACTACATTCATTTCCCAGCATCAAGAGATAAAAGTAATTATTTTACATCCTCTAATTGAGGGAACAACAGCCTGTTTATTTAAGATTAAGGAGTTTTGGTTCTTTGAATTTATTTACACAATTAAGCATATTATTATAACATCCCACGCCTTCAGAGCATTTAATAAAACATCACTGGCTATATGACCACATCAATAAAGCTGAATCCTCATACGCTGGGACAGAGATCCATATCTGCATACTGAATAGAGAGTCACGGGATCATAAGCCGTAACAACAAAATGAGTTTGCTTTACCACGAATACCAGAAAATGCTTTTAAAAGCCCACAAATAACAAGTAGTCTTCCATTCCCAGTCTGTAATGCTGAGTATGTATGTTCTCATTTGTTCCCGTGACTCATTTTTTGGCACAGGCTGTACAGTGCTCTTCTGCAGCGAGGAGATGCTTTGAGTTTCTTACTGAACAGCTGATCAACTACAGAGCTGTTTTTTGAGATGCTTTTAATATTTGGATAACCCTAGACTGAATAAGTGATACAACAATTTCTCACACACTGATTTAACATACAATAAAAGCCCTTACCTTTGGTTGGCTCCTACTGTTCCCCGAAGCACCAGAAGCAGAAAGGATTTGGTATAGGGTTGGGGTAAGAAAAAGAGAGACAAAAGAAAACCAAAGGCTGTTAGTTGCAGTGATTTGAGCTTAATTATTCTATCATTAATACCTCATCATTGGAACGCTGCATTTAAGAAGTTCATTTCCCTCCTCATTTCTGCCCTTGCTTACAGGTCCCAAGTAATTTTATAAACCAATGCTTATCTCTTTTAAAGACTAAGATCTGAAATGCTACTCTGAGTAAGTTGATTTTAAATTCAAAGCCACTGATTTTCCTCATGCTGCCACCCTCTCTTCCTCATTCTTCCCTAGTTGTTTTTCTCTTGTCACACCTCTTTCTTTCTAGATTTGTGGGTGTCAGTGTCTCTTAAAAACAAAGTACCCAAGCAAAGTAAAAATTTCCAATATCACTTGAACAGGAACTTCAGGAGAGTTATTCAAGAGGAAATCTCCAACCCTTGGACTTGCCCAGCTCAGCTCTCTCACAGTTACTGGGACAGCAGAGGAAACATTTGTTTCCCTAAAAGAATGAGCACAAAATAGAAATTCATTAGTCTGTTAAGTGCACAACTTAAAAGTTTGTTCGGGCTTTTTGAGGGCTTTTTTTTAATAAAAAAAACACAACTAGTACAAAATTTCTGGAGTGACCTCTAAAATAACGGCACAGATTCAGTCAGTGCCCCGACAGCAGGTTACCCCACCTTCCCACATACAGAAGACTGAAGAAATGCAGCAAACACACACCAACAAGGAACCAATGTTCTCCTTGTCCTGGACCTTCCAAATGAGGTTACGAAGCTCTTGACATCAGTAACAAGTAAAGTCTTGTGACAAGCATCACTGATTTCTTTGGAACAGAGCAGGAGAAAGGCATGGGAGCCACATAAGATTACTCTCAGAGTTCTTGCTGCTCACATGGGTTGAGAAACGAATTTAAAAATAGTAATTTCTCAGCAGTGTCTCTCAAAAATAATTATTTATTAAGCAAGTCCATCATCTCTTTTTACTCAGGCTTGGATCTAACATGCATATCTGTTTGACATAACAGGAACGACAGTGACTTTGGATAGCAGCAGCTGGCGTGACCCTCTACACAGGATGATTATTTAAGTCAAGGTTACCCCATGACAGCCATGTCACGGGGTCATTCAAGTACGCAATAACAACATGACCACTTTCCCCCCTGCCATCTGGCTGACTTTGAATAAAAGCTCTCCCAAGGTCCTTGGCAGCGCGCTCAGTGCAGACTCTCGACCATCTCTGTTGCTCCTGGGTGGGTTGTAGATATGGAGGCAGACTGAGGGAATCTCCTTCACCAGGGCTTCGATCCAGACACAGAGACACCAGAGAGCCTGTCTGGATTACTCTAAGAGAGATGCAAGAGCATTTCGTTGGCTGGCTGTGCTCTGAAATGCTAGTGGAGCATTTCTGCTCAAGGACTTCACTGGAAACCACTAAGTGGCTTTTGGGGGAGCTCCTGCTTACAAAGCAGGCTTATCCCTATTCCTACAGGAAGATCATTCTCGTTGCAAAAGAAAGAGAATAGCAAGCCTGGATTCTGAGTTTGAGTTTAGCACTCAGAGATGTGACACTCTGCATTCAACAAGCAGTTACGCTCATCTTCCCCAGCCCAGTTCCAAGGCAGGATTATATTGCGACAACGCGGTTCATCCTTCCAGCCCTCAATACAGGCTGCATTATTGAGTGTTTGGATTAGAGCAGCAATAAGGATATAATCTCAAAAGTCCTATCAATACATATACAATTTTAAGAGGATGGATCATGCTAGGCTATGTAAATCATCAAGCTTCATTTAAGACCTTTAGTCTCATTTTCTGAAGAGCTGCACAAGCACACAAAACCATGTCTCGCTTAATCCAAACATGAACAAATGGAAGCCCTAAGAAACCCAAGGTACAGCGTTCAGGATAAAGCACGGCTATCTAGAGCTGTTGCTTGTTCTGTGTAATTTGGACCAAGAGAATGAACCGGACAAACATTTCCCTAAGGAAAGCAGTAAGGGTGCACACGGTGTTACGCAGCATCGTGCTGTGCACATACGAACCCACCAATGCTGCAGCTGCGTGCTGCGATAGCTGGACCCAGAAACCCGTGAAAAGATTGTAAGCCTGATTTGAAATCCCATGGGAGATGACTAGATACAGGGATACAGCACCCAGAGCAGCCTGCATAGCTGCAAACACAGGCTGGAAGCGCCGGGTGTTTAGAGGAGGCTCCGTGCCCCAGTACGGTGCATTGCTACAGTCCATCTCACAGCCCACGAGGTGAACACCGAGCAACAGCATCGCCTATAGAGTGGGGGAGTACCTCTTCCAACAAAACACAGGTGACAGCAACGTATGCAAAGAACATTGCCTATGGTTAAGGCTGGCATTAGCAAAAAAAAAAAAAAAACCCAGAGGATCCTAATATTGACAACTTTCTCAAATGCACCAGAAAGGTCCAGCACAGGAACGGAAAACTTACCTTTTAGCTACTGAAGGATGTCACGAAGATGTCTTCAGCTACATATTTTCACTGGAATCCAGACTGACAGGACTTTCTTGCACCAACTCCCCTTTTTATCTTTTTTTGAACACAATGTCAAACAGAAGCAGGGGAGGGGGAATCTATTAGATCTATCTAGCGTTTCTAAGATTAAAAAAGGAAAAAGAGAATACTCTAAAACAACTGCCTACATTTATTACTATTTTATTTGTTGCAGACAAGTGGGTACATACGCTGTTTCAAGAGTGAATGAAGACATGCAGTCCTGAGTAATCATTTCTTTTTAAGCTAGCTCTTAGACTGTATAAGCTTCTTGACCAAGACACATTTGCTTTCAGATGAAAATGTCAGTGGTTTCACAGATCCCGTTCACAATTTAAACACCAGGTAAAACCAGAGCAATTCCCGGCTGAGACCATCAGTATATGTCCAACACCATTATTGCTTTTGGTTTTTTTTAACAAAAGAATATGCTTTCCACTAATTAAATTATATAGTCAAGCACAATAAACTACTCTGCTCAGCCACAGCTGTTACTGCTATTTTAGTAATATCTCAGATCAGTTTTTACTCTGGCTTTCCAGGTTCAAAAGCAGGGGGAAGGTATAGTGCCCTGAAGTGTATCTGAGATTTTGCAAGCCTCATGGGGAAAAAAACACGGCAAATGGGCCGCGGTGAAACACCACTGGGAAGAGGCGAGGACAGCGCAGACCGTCCATCCTGGCTGAGCCGACAGCTGGGGGCCAGCAGCCAGAATCACAGAATCACAGAAACACTAGG